GTGAGAGAGTAGCCTGTAAGAGAGGAGCCTGTAAGGAGTTTGGAGCTTAGAGGCCCAAGATTTAGGTCAAGTCATTGAGGACTTTGCCCTGTAAATAGACTCCATGTCCCCAAAGTGCAGGGGGACCAGGAAGTTATGCTGGACTGGCTGATTCTAATGGGCTCATTGAATGCTGGTCTGGACATTATTGCCCTAAAAATGAGCATTGTATAAGTCTGCCATCTGGGGGGAAAAAGGAAGAAAATGGACCCATTTTCTGCATCATCTATATTAGGTAAAAACTTCTTATCCTTATTGGCAATATTTTATGTGTTTACTCCAACTGAGACTTATAGCTCACAGACATGCCAGTATTGTAGAATCAATATAAAAATTCCTGTTGTTTTGCTGACTTACATATTCACTGAGGGATTATTTGGGAGACAGACCTGAAAAGCAATTATGTGGAAAGTTCAATATGCTAGTTCTCCTTGAAAAGTGTTGCTTAAAAAGAACTTTCTAGGAGGCTCTCTAGTTTTTGCCATGTATGCTTTCTTCCTGATGTCTTGTGACATGCGGTAATATTTCTTCCAGTTCTTAGTTTTACGTCAGTCCATCACTTTGAGGCCCCTTTAGGTAATATCCACAAATATTTTGGAGCTTGTTCTTTTAACCACAAATCTTTATAGCTTTTCAGTTTGTTTTGGCGTAGCCTGGGGATTGGCAAGGAAGGAGTGGTGCAGGGGAATAAATGAGACTTTTGTTTAAAAGATGGCTTTTCTCAGGTTGACATCCACAGGAATATCTCTTAGTTGTCCTCCTGGCATGGATTTTAAGGCATTCATGAGGCTCCTTTATCCCCACCTCCACCTCCCCCCCACCCCAACCTCATCTCCCCATCTGTTCTCCCCCGTGTGAGAAAGTACATTTGTGGCCATCTCCACCTGATAGTTTCCGTATGTGGCCTCAGCCATGGAATGCTGAATGTTTGCACTGGGTTTGCTGAGAGCAAAGTCAGGAGACAAGCATGTTGGTCAGAGGCCAAGTGCCCATCTAGTGTAGCTGCTCCAGTTTCACCCCTGATCCAAGCTGTATGCATTCTCCAAGTTAAGGGAAGCCAAGGAGTGGCTTGAAAAAGGAGCAGGAACTCTATGCTTTATTCTTAGCCTCTAGAGCAGAATTCTGGTTCCCCGTAAGTCAGCACTTTCTGATCAGCAGCCAAGCCTGGTTAACTTCTGGTTATGCAGCTCATTGGCTGCCATGTGGACCACTTGGAAGCTGCTGCTTTTGTATTTCCATGGTCCTCCTTTCCCCTTGCACAAGAAGTTTCTTTATTTACTTTATGACCTACACAAAATAAAAGGAAAAACAACCCACCTAGACCTAAGATTTCTGGTGTAAGGAGATATTTCCTGCCATTGAAGAAGTCATTTTATGATTCTAGTCAGGAGAGTTTTGAGAAATAGAATAATATTCTTTTTTACTCTCTTAATATTTCCTCAGTTCTTAGATTACCAATAGTCTCCAATGGGTTTCTGTAATAACAGTGCTTCAATATTTTCCCCTAGCAATAAACAATCAGCAGATTATTGATTATGATCATTTTCTAAAATAACTGACTGTGGTCAATTCCCTAAGAATAGTAGCAGACAAGGCGAAGTTGGCCAGATGTACTAAATGGACACAGAGAATTACTGCTGATCTAACATAGTTCCTCAAGAGAGAGGGAGGAAGTATGAAAAAAGGATAGTCTTACTAAAAAATAAGGTATCTAGTAAACTGGTATTCAGAAAAATAAATTAAATAGCTTATTCTACTGTTGCTATTAGAAACAGGATCTGAATCCACAGGAAAGATTGCCCTTGGTGCTTTCACATTGGGTACCAGTGATGGCAAGAGATAGCAAGCCTATTGATTGGGGAGGGGAATCTCCTCTTCTTATTCCTAAACTTGCAAAAAGAGGACAGTGTTTATCAAGTGGGTTCTTTTGGGATAGAGCACTAAGCAAATCTATATCATAAAAGGCCTGTGGTCGTAATGGCGTCACGACCAAACGGGCAGCAGCTCTCGCAGTGGGTGGGGCAGGGCGCAAGCTACTCTTGGTGGAGAGCTACTAGCGGCAGAGAGCTACGAGTGGCAGAGAGCGGGGCACAAGCTACTAGCCTAGCAGCAGAGACCTACGAGCGGCGGAGGGCAGGGCGCAAGCTACTAGCGGTGGAGAGCTACGAGCGGCAGAGGGCAGGGTGCAAGTGGCGATGGGCAGGGTGGCCAGCTGCGGCAAGTGGAAGCGAGCTACTCATGAACGGTTTCGTGCGCGCTGGGCCTCTAGTCCTATATAATAAAAGGCTAATATGCAAATCGACCAAATGGTGGAACGACCGGTCGCTATGATGCACACTGACCACCAGGGGGCAGATTCTCAACGCAGGAGCTGCCCCCTGGTGGTCAGTGCGCTCCCACAGGGGGAGCGCTGCTCAGCCAGAAGCCTCCTTTAAAAGGGAGGCTGGTTGCTCTAATCAAATATTACTCAAATATGAGAGGCCCAGTGCATGAAACTCATGCACAGGTGGGGTCCTTAGGCCTGGCCAGCAATCAGAGCCTATCGGGGCTGTCTTGCCCAGTCCCAATCAGGGCCAAGCCAGCCGGGGCCTGCTGGATGGGGGGTAGGGACTGCGGGAGGTTTGCTGGCCGGGGGGGAGGGACCGAGAGAGGTTAGCTGGCTGTGGGAGGTTGGCTGTGGGAGTGCACTAACCACCAGGGGGCAGCTCCTGCATTGAGTGTCTGCCCCCTGGTGGTCAGTGCACATCATAGTGACTGGGCAACCAGTCGTTCGGTCGTAACGGTCACTTAGGCTTTTATATATATAGATATGGCAAAGCTTTTTACCTCTGACAAAGAAAAAGGCATCAGAATTTGTTTTAACGTGCATGTGTACACACTCAGGCATGCACGTGGATGGGAGTGGAGAGATTCCTAGTGTTTTTTCATTGTTCTTCAAGCATTGAAGAAGAGACCCAAGTCTAGTTCATGGGTCTTGGTCCACGTTGCTTTAGTCTTAAAGTCTTTGATGGAAAGGGAAGCCCTTTGTGACTGAGAGGGATTAGGATTTTCAGATTTTGGAATGCTTTTTTGCTCCTAGTACTAATCAGTTCTGAAACAGAATTGAGAGTAGCAAATGTCTTTTTGTCAAGTGAGCGGCTCATCATATTGTTTTCTTGTTTTCTCATTCTGTTGTCCTTTCTGTGCTTCTGCTTCACCACTCCAAGCCCTAAGCCTTGCCTCCACCAGGAAGTCTTCTCTGCCTGGCTCCCCCGCCCGCCCCCCCCCCCCGCATTTCTGTTGTCTTCTCTTTGTCTTAACGTGCTCTATTGTTAGCTGTTCAAGGCTTGCAACAATAACATATCCAGTAACCACTTATTAATTTAAAATGTTTAATACTTGTTAAATTAAACTTCTAGTACCTTTTACAGTATTAGCCATTGGTCCTCATAGTACATTGCAGGTCAGCCCCAGGAAGTATTATAAGTATTCCTTCAGCAGTTCTCAACCTGTGGGTCATGAACAATGAAAATACATCCTGCATATCAGATATTTACATTACGATTCATAACAGTAGCAAAATTACAGTTATGAAGTAGCAACGAAAATAATTTTATGGTTGGGGGTCACCACAACATGAGGAACTGTATTAAAGGGTCGCAGCATTAGGAAGGTTGAGAACCACTGCTTTATGTGATGATGATCATCATCATTATATGCACAAGTGGTTAAAAATAAACTCAGTTACAGGAGGGTATGAGTTGAAAATAAATTTTTCCCTTTCTCCTCATTTTTCACTCCCCAGATGTAACCAATGTTAACAATTTTTATGTATCCTTCTAGAAGTTTGTATGCATATACGAACGTAAATGGGAGCCTACTGTACATACTCTTCTGCTCCCTGATTTTTAATTAACTTAAGTAATTTCTCCTAGAGATCTTTCCATTTCTTCACACTGTTGTTTATTGTTTTTCCCTTACTGGCTCTGTAGTATCCCATTGTGTAAATAATCAATTATTGATTTAAGCAGTGCCCTGTTGATGAATATTTATATGATTTCCGTTTTTTTAATAGTAATGATAATGCTGCAATAAAGGTTCTCCTGCATTGGTTTTTAGTGTTCTGTGTTAATGCCATTTCCTGAGGGGACTAAAGATCCTGGATCCATACCCACTAGAGAGGAGCAAAAGCTTCCCACCAGTGTGCCCTCTTCTCCCTTTCTTGTTGTTTATTTTTTTTTTGAACTTGACTCTTTATAACTCTTCGACCACAAGCAATCCACTTAAACCGGGGTCACCATTGAAATGCCTTTATGGACAAGGCAGATAACCTACATATGTTAGAGGCTTGAGGCCTGAAGACATTGAAATTCAAAAATAAAAATGGGAAGTACCCAGGTTTTCAGGCTCCAGGAGGCCAGCCTATGATAATTTAAACAAATCTGTGTTCACAAGGAACCTTTGTGCCAACTGGTTCCTCAGCCTGGAATAGCTGCAGCTCTACATCTTCCTCATCCTTCCAAGGCTCAGCTTCCATTCCAGCTTCCCAGACTATTTCAATTTCCCCTCCCCCTGCTGCCTTAGCACTGTATTTATGCCTCTGTTTATCACACACCACACTCTGCCTTCCATTGGAGGTATGTGAGTAGCTGTAGAAGGCTGCTGAAAGTCTAGGCCTTTGAGTTTCTTCTGTTTGTCCTTAGCATTTATTTCCATATAGTGGATTCCCAATGAATGTTTTTATTGGGAGAAAGATAGGGCAAAATGAAGCCTCGTGTCAAATCACAGCTGTTAAAATGGTATATTATTGTCATGGCATCCAGTGGAAAATTAACAACCGTTGGATGTCCAGGACACAAATATTTTTCTGCCAAAAATAATTCTGTACAGGTCATCTAGAAAAGTATCACTGAATTATGGAAGTCTCTTTTCTCTGTGTTATGTCCAGTTGGAGTAATAAAGATTAATTTGCTTCATCATAGAAAACAAACACAGGGCAGGCTTGAATTCTCTGTCTGAAACAATTTCTTAACTCCCGTGATTGTGAAAGCAGTGGCATCCAGGCAGTTGGAACTCCAGGCAAAGCAAGGTAAAAACACATGCAGCACCCTGCAAAATAAATAGCACCTTGATGCCAGAGTGTCAGAAGCTCCCTCATGAAGTATAGGTTTGAAAACATCTATTGACCTACGTATTAGTTGCTTTATTTAAACTACATGTCCAAGAGTAACTGAGTGCCTGGCTTCTGAGTGCTACAACACCCAGCTTGAGAGAAGGCCTGCCAATGTTGGTGTAGGAAGGAAGTTCATCAGCTCTTTTGAAGTTTGCCTTTCTTAATTCTTGAGCATTTTACGCTGAGATTTTGTGCTCAAGTTGGGTTTATTTTTATAACTTACATACAGTAAAATTCACTTTTTGTGTGTGTACAGTACTATGCAGTTTACCAAATCATAAAGTTGTGTAACTACTATCACAATCAAGATATAGCACAGTGTTATCACCCCCCCAAAATTCTCTCATGCCCTTTCGAAGTCAACTTTTCCTTCCACTCCCAGCCCCTGGCTACTGCTGACCTGTTTTCCAGCTTTGCCTTTTCCAGGATGTTTTATATATATATATATATATACACACACACACATACATATATATATATTCATGTGCTATGTATTTTCTTGAGTCTGGTTCCTTTCACATAGCATAATGCATTTGAGAGCCATCTGTGTTGTGCCATGTATCAGTAGTTAGTTCCTTTTTCTTGTTCCATTATGTGATGTACCAGAGTTTGTCTTCACCAGTTGAAGAACATTTCAGTTGTTTCCAGATTTTGGCTGTTATGAATAAAGTCACATTAATATTCACATACCATTTTTGTGAACATGTTTCCATTTTTCTTACATAAATACCTAAGTGTCAGATTGCTGGGTTAAAAGACAGGTTTGTGTTTAGTTCTTATAAAGAAACTGCCAAATCATTTTCAAAGGGACTGTTTTGTTTTGCATTCTTATAATATTAACTGAGAAAGATCTAAGATTAAGGTTATATCTACACCATTTTCAATCATTTCAACAGCCTATGGGTGCATTGAACGCAAGGGAGAGGCGTGGAATAGGGATGCAGACCCTATCTCAATGGGTTAAACTTTTTGTTTATATACAGAACTTTTTTTCTGCCTGAAATGATTAAAGTGAGTGTGTAGCTGTTTGGCAAGACTCTGCCCTGATATTCAGGGGAGATTATGGCAGCTTTGCAGATAAGCCCAGCAATCTACTGGGCCACAAAGTCATTCCCCAGGCCATTCAGGCAGTCATGTGTTGTGGTGCTGATGGCTTCTGATAATATCAAATATTGGGAACCTGAAGATAGCACATCTTTTAAGGGTGATATTTCTAAGTTTTATTCATATTCTCAGTTGCCTAATAACTGATTTCTTTTAAATGCTTTCAAATTCTGATCATTGGAGATACTTTACTCATAGGCTTCTTATCATCTCGATTCCCTATGGTTGAAATAGGAGGGAGAGAGACCAAGATGGCGGCATAGGTAAACACCGGAGACTGCTGCCGCAAACAACCACTTCAAAAATACAACTAAAAGACGGAACGGACATCACCCAGAACCACAGGAAGGCTGGCTGAGGAGAGACTCTTCAACTAGAAGGAAAAATAACAGCACACCGAGGCTCAGAGGAGGCGCAGTGTGGAAAAAACTCAGGTGCGGAGGTGCGCGCGCAAAGCGGGCTGGTGGCTGAGAGCGCGGTTGTCGTTTTCGGTCAGGGGGGAGTCTCAGACTCTGAGCTCCAGATACGGGCGAATCGCTGGGGACTCGGACCCAAACGGGAGAAGCGGGAGTGTCTGGCATCAGTTGGAAGGCAGCTTTCCCTCCGAGGTTTGCAGCGGTTCCGGGGGTTCTGAGAAGCAGAGCCTCTGGGAACGGGACTGAGAGGGGCCATAACCGCTCCCTCCGCCCACCCTG